CCCCAAGCAGGAATTCGGCGTCGCCACCACCCTCGCTGAAGTTTTCGGTTACCAACCAGTCGACGGAATCCTTGGACTCGGATGGCCAGCTCTTGCTGTCGACAAGGTTATTTTACCTTTTGGGAGCGACCTTTAAGTTCAGCGATATTGAGATACGCAGATTAGCTACATAATGATTTTTAGGTCGTTCCACCCATGCAGAACCTGCTCAGCAGCCTTGACCAGCCCCTGTTCACCGTTTGGATGGACAGAAAGGTAAGCTTTTGCTTTTGCAGCTTCCAACACGTGTGCTCACTGACTTTGGAATCGGAGAATGTGTTTTTAGTTGACCGTCAGCAACGGAGGTAACGCCGGTCTCATCACCTACGGAGCCATCGACACCAAGAACTGCCAGTCCCAGATCAACTACGTCCCACTCTCAGCTGAAACCTACTGGCAATTCCCCATCGATGGGTTCGCCATCGGAAGCTACTCAGAGACCAAGAAGGAACAGGTGGGTTCTTAGAGGGGTAATTTGAGGCTATGATTCAAAGGAGCTTCTTCAGGTCATCTCCGACACCGGTACATCATGGATCGGAGCACCCACCACCGTTGTCAGCGCTGTTGTCAAGCAGACTGGAGCTAAGTACGATTTCTTGAACGAGCTCTACACCGTCGACTGCTCCACCCAGAAGACCCAGCCCGACCTTATCTTCACCATCAACGGAATCAAGTACAACGTACCCTCGGTTGAGTACGTGCTTGACCTCGGTCTTGGAAATGGAAAGGTATGTTTTTCTCTCAAGATAAATTGATCATTGGAGCTGCCCTTTGCATACATGTGACATTAGCTCCGGTTCTTGAGAAAGTGCAAATGGAGTAAATCTCAGTTCTTGCACAAACGTAAGCCACAGGGGGGAATATTGTATAGCAGTTATTCGTACTCTGGTACTATGTGAGGAATCGAACCTAATGGCCAATTCCCATCTGTGGAATCATCCCTGCATCATGAATATTTTGTTTCAGTGCGCCCTTACCTTCTTCGGCATGAACTCTGGAGGTTTCGGCCCAGCCTGGATTCTCGGTGACACCTGGATCCGTACCTACTGCAACATCTACGACATCGGACAGAAGCGAATCGGTTTCGCCAAGGCCAACCACTCTGGCCTCTAGAAACATTGTCTAGAGATTACTATACATATAAATAATTGTACCTACACTGTTTTTCTTGTACACTGACATTTAATCACAAGAAAAATTCTGTATTCGGCCTTTGTAGTTTTGCATCTGGTTCGGACCGTTTGTATTTTGAGTTACTTACTGTATTGTGACATGAGGTGGCTTGCAATGGCGGCTCCTTGGAGTTCTTTTCTCAATTCTTGGAAAGAAAAAAGGGATTCTTCTTCTCTAAAACCATTTTTGGCTACATTGAAGCCTACTTCTGAAAGAGCAACGAATCTCGATCACATGCCTGCACCAACCATGCACGAATTCTGGGAATACCTTCTGTTTGAGGGTGCTCGCGATTCATGCAAGTGGCCGTTGGGTGGACTCAAACTGTTAGAATAAGTTCAGGGTCGATGTAAAACACTGAAAAATCGAAGGTAAACAAAAAATCGGAAAAAGTCAAAATAACCGATTTGGGATAAGCATCGCACTCGACTTTGCTTTGTATCGTTTTGGAATTAGAGGTTTGGATCAAAAGTGACCTCAAAGGTTCAAATATTACCAGGGTGGTCCTGTTTTCGTCCGAATAAGCTTGTATCGGAGCTCTGACTCAAGAATACCTGTACGTGTTTGAGCAGAACTCGACCTTTCGACCGAAACAACTGTCACACATGCCATCCGCTGCTACACCCATAGTGTTAAATAAGCAAACTCGGAAGAAAGGTTTTTGAAGGATTTCAAAATCAGGTCGCTTCAGGTTCAGGAGGAATTACGGTATCTGACCTACTTGGGAGGTCAGGTCCTGAGGCTCGGCCTGATCGATCATTTCCTGATGCCTTACTGCTGCTACGGCTGCCTCCTTTTTCTCTCAAATTCTACTACAGTTTCTGGATCAACGTCCAGGTAAATTTTTGATAAAACATCTCTTAAACGGACCTTTACGACGTTATCGAACTCAAATTTAGTTAAGTTAGCGGAGTTTCGACTAAAAAGATGACTTCTTCAACATTTTCTTCTTGCTTAATGCTTAGCAATCACTGTCGCTGTCATATTTCACGGGAGCGCAGTCCAGAAGAACAATGGCAAGGACTCGAAAAGAGGTATGTTTGTAAGATTTTTGCAAAATTTTTTGATAAAATCGGTACCATTAAACAGAATTGTACTTTCATCGATTCTATTCCTCCTCCCTTTCCCTGTGCTTACTTTTACTCATTCTTTCCCTTCTTACTGTTTTCCATGAACTTGATTTGTCACTGCATTCGACCAGAGGATTTTATGAACTGTAGTTTGCTTTTGTACTGACTCGATCAAGTAAACCCGTTACAAATAGTTTTTTTTTTTGCTTCTCACTTATTTTACTGATTTACCTTCTATTTTACTTGAATATTTAC